CACCTGCACACGCGCGTGCGCACACACACGCACATGCTCACACAGGTTTTAAAGGCAACTCAGCTTGTGACAAGAGCAAGGAAAGGAGGCAGCAGGAAGCTGGAGGACAGTTCTGTCTCTAGGACCTTCACGGTAGCCAACAGGCAAGACCCAAGCCAGGTTGGGAAATGCTCTTACCTGGTCTGGTGCGGTTCGTTGGTACCTAAAGAAAAGAAGAGGGACTGGCTGCCCCTTCTGTGCCCAGAATCTCTTTTATCTGCAGAGTACCCCTGAGCCGCACATGTAGTGGCTTGGGTGACATTATGAGGTCATGGAGGGCAGGAGGATGATGGGAACCATCTTAGAAGGGGCTGGGAAGTGTCTGATGTGCACCTGGCTCATGCTGTTTCTCTCTTCACCAGTCCTCATGATGTGAATGAGGAAATGGAGGCTAGAAACTGACCCACACGCCCCATCTGGACAGTTACACACTTTATGCTGTGTAACATGTCCCAAAACAACCTCATGATGTTTTGGAGTTAGGAGCCCAGAAGTGGCCTGGACCTACGTTTAGGCTCTGGTTTCTCCTGATGCTGCTGGAACTCTGCATGACCGCCTGTGTCTTTAATCCCAACACTTGTGAGGTAGAGGCAGGAGGATCAGGGTTCAAGGCCAACCTCTAACACACAGCAAGCTTGAAGCTAGGCTTTGTCTGACCAACAAAACAAAACAAACAAAAACCCACAGCCATAAACACACAGCAAGCTTGAAGTTAGGCTTTGTCTGACCGACAAAACAAAACAAACAAAAACCCACAGCCATAGTTGAGAGGTCTGAAAGCTTGTGTGGGGTTGCTACCTCAGTGGGCCGCAGACCTCAGCTCCTCCCATGTGGGCGACCCCTACCACATGTTCGCCGCCAGACCAGCTGTCTCTCCTCGGACAGGCAGGCGTCTCACCTGGAAAACTCTCCACTTCAATTTGACAACAGACTAAAGGAAAAGTGTATCTGGCTCAATAAAACAAGGGAGACACCCTGCTGTGAAAACAGAGGAAAGGCAGGTTCGCCTGAAGCCATTCTTGTACTCCTTACAAAAGCTACCTGCGGAGGACGTTGCCCTCATAAAATAAACCCTACAGTAGCCGGCGTGACTGTCGCGGCTCCCAGCAGCACCCACCGGCTGAGTCTAGCCACTCCTCTAGCCCGTTGGTGCCTGCCACCTGACTCCAAGCTAGGGGGTTATCTCTTTCACGGTCGACCCCTCTTTCCGAGAGCTTGGTCTTGCCGCGACAGCGGAGGCAAAAGGACTCAGGTCATCCGGCTCGGGGCTCGAACCCGAGTTCCGCTGAATCCCGCAGGCTGCTGCCCAGCGCTGGCCGCCAGATGGTACCCGTGCGCTTCTCAGTACTCAAGCGTTGGCCTCCCGGGCACACCGGGTGAAACAGGCCGCCTCTGCCGCCAGGTGTCTCAGGAGCACTACCTCCCAACCTGTTCAGCCACCCACCACTACTGTGACTCAACTGACCTCAGGGAGTGGCTGTCCGCCCCCCCCAGTCCACACCCACACCACAGGCATGCCTAATGCGGCGCCACTGGGTGCCCCAGAAGCCCCAGACTGAAATAACCGGCACACCATTCTGTGAAAGCTCTCCAGCATTGAGCCATTGGCAGGGCAGCGTGTGGTTGTGGTAGGAGACTAATGCCAATGGAACGGTATGTCTGGAAAGTAATAGTTCCTGAGGTAATGGGGGCTATGACGGCATGACGAGTGTGCTTAGTGACTAAACCGTACACTTGAGAGCGGATAATGCAAGGCTGCATTTGGCTCAGTATACTGGCTGCTCTTCCAGAGGACCCTGGTTCAGTTCCCATCACCCACACAGCAGCTAACAGCCATGTGAACTCCAGTCCCCCAGGGGATCCAATTCCTTCTCCACAGGCATTGTACTTTTTACATGATGCACAGACATGAAGGCAGACAAAACACCCATGCACATGAAATAAAATCTTTTGTTGTTGTCTAAATCTTTATGAAATAAATTTTTTTAAACATTTATTTATTTATGTATTTATTATGTATACAATACTCTGTCTGTGTGTATGCCCGCAGGACAGAAGAGGGCATCAGACCCCACCACAGATGGTTGTGAGCCACCATGTGGTTGCTGGGAATTGAACTCAGGACCTTTGGAAGAGCAAGCAATGCTCTTAACCGCTGAGCCATCTCTCCAGCCCAAGATAACTCTTTTAAGCAGTTAAAGGACCGGAGAGACGAGATGGCTCAGTGATCAAGAGGACCTAGTTCAGTTCTCAGCACCCACCACATGCTCTGACATTCTCTTCTGGCTTTGGACACCTGAAAACACATAAACGAACAATGAACACAAATAAAAAATAAGGTAATTTAAGATAAGGTCTCTCTACATAGCCCTCCCTGGCTGCCCTTGAACTCACTATGTAGACCAGGCTGGCCTCAAGCTCAGTGATCAACCTACCTCTGCCTCCCAAGTGTTGGGATTAAAACCATGTTAATTTTAAGTGGCTGAAGTCATAAATTTTGGGTCTGGAGAGGTAGCTTGGTTGAGAGTGCTTGCTTATGCATGAGGCGTTGGCTCAAACCTCCAGCACCAAGTACATTAGATATGGTGCAGAGCTGTAGATCCAGCCCTCAGAAGGTGGAGAGAGGAGGATCAGGTTCTCCTCAACTACACAAAAATTGGAAGCTAGCTAGCCTTGGCTACAAGAGACTCCTCCCCAGTTTGCTGACATCATGCAGCCTAGGCTGGCCTCCAACTTGATATACAACCAAGGAGGATCTTGAACTCTTGGTTCTCCCGCCTCTACCTTCCAGGGGATTACAAGCATGCAAAACAATGCTGAACAATTTTATACTTTTTAAAGATTTGTTTTTACTATTTACTAATGAACATACAGCCATTCTCCTGCCTCTGCCTCCCAAATGCTGGGATTAAAGGGGTACGTCACCACCACCCATTTTAGGTTTGCTTTTAGCCAGACAGTGGTAGTGCATGCCTAACTCTCAGCTCGAGGCCAGCCTGGTCTACAGGTTCCAGGACAGCCAGGACTGTTACACAGTTTTTGTTATTTTTAATTATGTGTGTGTGCATGTCTGTGTGAAGGGATGTCCAGGGTGCTCTCACAGACCAGAGTCAGATCCCCCTGAAGCTAGTCTAGTTACAGTGGTTGCAAGCATCTCACGGAGGTGCTGGGGCTTGAACACAGGTTCTCTGGAAGAACAGTAAGTGCTCTTAAACACTGAGCCATCTCTCCGGCCCTGTTGGTTTTTTTTTTTTTTTTAATAAAAATAATTCAACCAGGTGGTGGTGGTGCATGCAGGAGGTCTCTTTGAGTTCAAGGCCAGTCTGGTCTACAAAGTGAGTTCCAGGACAAAGAAACCCTGTCTCTAACTGACCCCCCCCCCCAAAAAAAACTAATAAAACGAAATCCCTACAGCAGTTTCAGAGCCAGAGTCCTCCCTGGCTGTGTTCAGCATGTAAACCTGCTTGCCCCTGTCCATTGTTGAGGCAGTTCTGTCTACCTCAAAACCTTCCCAGCGCTAGTTCCCATCATTTCTGGGTAGCCCCCAAAACACAGCTCACTCATCTGACCGCCCCCACAGTTCCACCCAGAGCAGTAGTACGAATCCAGTGAAACTGGATCTGGGCAGGTCAGGGTCAGTTCTGTACTGGAAACAGAACCCAGGGCCTTATATGCACGGAAGGTAAGCTTGCTACTATGAATGCACCTTTCGACTCCAGGCTGAGTCCTGGTCACCAGAACTGTCCAGCAGCAGAACGCAGTGCCCGGTCCCCTCATCTGAGAAATGAGGTGACAAAGACAGGTAGGCCAACCATTGGGTTTCCGGAAGATGGGTGGAATGAGTCAACATTCACGAGAGTTTGGGAGTGAGGGAGGTTTCCATAGGCTGTTGAGTCCTGATGGGCTGGCCCCACGTGACTGACTCATGCTCACGTGGAGGGGTGTGGCAATGGGGCAGATTATTTTCTCCCCACTGAGTCTGGGATCCCTCAAGATGGCTTTCTTGTGTTGACAGTGTCCCAAGCGACAAGTGGGGTGTGGCCCTGCTCAGCAGCTATTAAAAGTGATTTATTTTGTTTGCCTACTTTTTTCTCTCTTTAAATATTTTTCAAACTTTGACCTGGTATACAAAGGTGGCTTATAAAGAAATACTTTATATACCTTTATATACCAAGTATATAAATGACGGGGTGGGGGCAACAACTCCAGGAAACAAATGCAAAGTGGAGGCATTCCAAGACCTGACCTCCAACCTCAGGCACATCTGCCTACTTCAATCACAGCCATCCTTAAAGTCAAAGGAATTCCCAAAGGCCGTGCAATGATGTTTCCAGGGAGCCTGTGGAACCACATTTCCCACGTGAGAGGAAGGCAGTCTAGGGTCCGGATACCCTGCACGGGTGGTACGAGCAGAGCAGGCAGGGCACACACAGGGTACCACAGCCACCAAACATGGGAATAAGGGGGATTTCTCAGCCCTTGGGGTCTTTGAAAGAAGACACCACAGGGAATGGAACTTTTGGTTATCCAAGAAGGTGCTAGGCAGGTCTGGCAGGTTAGGGAGCAGTGGGAGGAGTCCGAGGCTCAAACTGGAGGCCCTTAAGGCACCTATTCCTGCATTCATTGCTAAGTAACCCCAGGTCCCGAGGCCAGCATATGGACACTCTCCTGAATATTGCCGCAGAGAGTCTGGAGCTATGGCTTCCATTTTGCCCATCTAGCTCAGGGTCAGCCATCCACGATTACTGTCTCCAGCCTCTCCTAGTGGCTTCCCTCCAAGCTCATCCCACTCACTTCCCACCCAAACATTTTCCTGGGGGTCTGCAGGCCTCAAAACAGATCTGGCCTACAGAGGAGGTCCCGTATGGTATATCCAACCCTTCCTGGTCCCATAAGGCCCCAGGGTAACAGTGAACACCAGCAGCTCTGCAGAATATAAACAACTCAAAAAACAACTCCGATAAGGCAAATCCTGTTGTATTTACGCCTCCTACGCCTCTCCTTCAGTCGAGTGATGAGGTTGTGTGTGAGACCTGGGGCAAGGCTCCCAGCTTACTCCCTGGAGACCAGCTCCCTGGACTGCCTGGCCTGTCAGTGTCCAGCTGGAGCCAAATGTCCTCTCCAGTCAAGATCCTCAGTCACGGCCCAGCTTCCTCTGCCTGCCACACCAGTTCACCCGAGATATAAGTGGCCTGGACATGGAGGGTGTCGTCGAGCACCACAAAGTCTGCGGCAGAAGCAGAAGGTGAGAGGAGACACAGTGGGGCCATCTATATCTCCTTGTGGAGTCACTGAGTCATTTCTTATAACTGAGCTCTGAGGGAAAACTGAAGTCCAAGAACATGATTTGGACTGGTAGAGGAGCTGGAAGCAAGAGCTGGGATTAAAGGTGTGCGCCACCACTGCCCGACTTGATTGCCATGAATTAGAAACCAGCCTGGCCTGCATAGTGGCTTCCAGGCCAGTCAGCACTACATAGTAAGACCCCGTGTCTCAAGACAAAACAAAACAAATAAACAAGCAAGGACCAACCAGGAGAAGGCTGAGGGGGTAAAGGCGCTTGCCACCAAGCCTGACTGAGTTTGACTGGGACTCACATGGTAGAAGGAGAGAACCAACTACAGCAAGTTGTCCTCTGACCTCCACAGGTGAGCTGAGAAGATAAAGGTAGGAGTCTATGGTGGGAATGGCCCCAAGGGCAGGGGCAGAGAAGACCCACCCCCTTGAGCCGACTCAACCCCTCCAAGGGGCCTCACCTGCATCAGCACCGAAGTCCAGGCTCCCCTTGGTCTTCTCCAGCCCTAGCAGCTGGGCAGGGTGGAGGGACGCAGCTTCCAGAGCCAACTCCACACTACAGCCTGCTCAGGAACACACTGTGGTGAGCTTGGACTCCGCAGGCAGCAGCTTGGGGAGGACCCTCACTCCCTAGCTTTGGGAGACACTGCTTACCACTCTCTTCCAAGTTCTACAGGGAGCCCATTCTCTCAACAGACTAAACAGGGGACGTTAGAGTGTGCTCAGTGTTGTATGGTCATAGACCCTCCTGCCTACTTCAGGCAAAGAAGTCATACCTGGGCCACCATGTCACCAATCCAGCTGTCAACTGGAACCCTGTACTCTGAGCAGGGCCTAACTTGAGGCCCAGGGACCACACTCACTTTACGGTACCACTTCTTGCCAGGGTAGTTATTTCCTGTGTCCCAGGCCATGCCCAGCCCATTTGTGCTAGCATTGCCCGCACTCAGAATGCCACTCAACCTTGAGATGCTGACAGGTGTAGAGCAGAACCAGCTCTAAGCCCCAGAATGCCACTTTACTCTGCCCATGGACACTGCCCCTGCAGATTCCCACTATCCCATGTGTCTAGGCCTTGGCCCTTCTATGAGCAATGCGACCCTGCTCTTCCATCATTCTGCTCTAGTGACTGGCTGTTAGCATTCTTCCATAGCTGAGCTCTAGCAGGGAATGGCCATGATCACTTCCATCTGCCAGAAGTCACAGCTCCCCATCTCCCAGTTTACAGGTAGTTAGAGGAAGTCAGCAAAGAAGTCCAATTTCTCTAGCTTTCTTCTAGCTTTCCCCAGTTACAGCCTCCGCCCTCAGACACCTAGGAACACCAGCCCACTGACCTGTGGCCTGCAGGAAATGCCGGATGCACACATCCATGGGGGCTATGCTGCCGCACAGAGTCTTGGTGCCTTGAGAGCAGAAAGGCCAGGATTGGAGGAGAGGGTTTCTATGGGCCTGGTAACCCAGTGAGTAAATGAACAGGGCATACCCGAGGGAAAAGCCGAGACCACACATATGTGGGTACAGGAGTCACTCACCTGCAATGTAGGCTATGAGCCCATCTACCTCCACCTCCTGCTGTCCCAGCGTATGGCGGCCATTGCCCAAGCCCAGGGCAGGGACAGCATCCGTGACCAGCACCAGTCCTGGAGGAGGAGGCGGCTCAGGACCTGGCCAGCTGTTATCCTACTTGTCTCTACCCTGCCCAGCTACTCACCCTGGGGATGAGCCCGATGAGCAATGCGCAGAGCTGCGGGGTTAGTGTGTATGCCGTCAGCAATCATCCCATAGAAGATGCAGTGGCCTGGGGGAAGCTTGTCACTGGTGAGAAGTCCTACTATGCCTGGGTCCCGGTGGTGGAACTAGGCAGGGCAAGAGGGAATGTAACTGAGTGACAGTACTGGCCCGAGTCCTCGTCCACCCAGGAGCAGGGGTGACACTCACAGGCAACATGGCATTGAAAAGGTGGGTGATAAAGGTGGCTCCACTCTGCACTGCTACTTCTGCAGCCCCCAGGTCAGCCACTGAATGCCCTGCATGGAGGACCCAAGGTGAGCTTCTGCAGCAGCTGAGAACCTGAGCAGGCAACCCTGACGGGTGGCCTCTCACCTAGAGACACACGGATGCCTTGGGCTGTCAATGCCTGGATCACTTCATGGCTCCGCTCTAACTCAGGGGCAAGTGTCACAATGCGGACGTTGTCCAGGGACCCATATGTGGCCAGCACATCATGAAAAGCATTGTCTTCAAAGGAGCGGAGGTAGGCCTCAGGGTGTGCACCCCGCTTCTCTCGGCTGATGAATGGGCCCTCCAAGTGCACCCCTGAGAGGAAGGACAAGGGTGGTTCTAGAAGGCATTTCCACCTAGCAGTCCCACCCCAGTCCCTCGATCTGCCCTCCCTTCCCAACTGGGCATTTTGGAAGAAGTTAACCACTCACCGAGGACCCCTGCCCCATGGGGACCTCCACTCTTCACAGGAATCTGAGGAAGGACCTAGGGGGAACCAGCTGTTAAAGCCCTGCCCCCCACCTCCACACTGCTCAGCACCCAGAGGTCACAGTCCAACCAAGGTCAGATCTTCAGGTGAGGTTTAAGACTCTGGCCCGGCCCGGCCCAGCCCTACTGTCCTTCCCACCCCAGTGGTCAAAGCAGGAAGAAATGGCAACAGGGAACACTTGATACACTACCCTGAGGACCAGGAGGCAAAAGCATCCCCAGGCCGCAGAAGCATGATGGAGGCACCAAGGGCTGCTCCAACCTGCTCTGGCCTTCAAAGTGCTTCTGCCAAACAGCCCGGATAGAGTGGTCAAAGCCCTGAAAAAATGACTGCAGCCTCCCTAAGCTGCAGGACAAGGAAGCAGGTTGGAGGCAGCAGGAGGAAGGCAGGGCACAAGCAGAGGGCTGGAGGACTCCGTGCAGGAGGGGACAGGGCTCAGCCATTCTGATCAGGAAGTCCACAGCCTCGGGAAAGACACCAAGTATAGCCACAACCCTCCCTCTGGACCCTTCAGCTACGGAAGCCCCCAGACAAACAGTAATACCCTCCCTTGGGATTACTCACTCCCAATATAAATAAAGGGCAGTTAAGACCCTTCCGCTGAGTATGACAGTGTGTGCCTACAACCCCAAGCACTTGGCAGGAAAGCAGGCCAGCCTCAGCTACATAATAAATTCAAGGCCAGCCTAGGATACATGATACCCCGTCTCAAATTAACCAAAACCAAACCCATGCTTAGAAATCTGAGGACAAAGAATGGGAGAAGGGCAGTCAGTCAGACTCTGAGGAGCAAACAGGCGGACTCTGGACACATCTCCATTGGAGAGGGACTCAGGAAACTCAGGCCTCACAGAACCTGGCACTATGAGAAACAGGCTGGGGGCAGGACTGGAAAGGGGGCCTCAGTAGAGGCAGAATACAAATATTGAGAAGTTTACGTCCTAAAGGGTCTCATAATAGCTTCTTCTGGCCTTTAATCCCATCACTTGGGAGGCAGAGGCAGGCAGATCTCTTGTGAGTTCAAGGCCAGCCTGGTCTACAAGAGCTAGTTTCCAACACAGGCTCTGAGAAACCCTGTCTCCAAATAAAAATAAAAATAAAAATGCTCCCTCTGAAGAAAACAAGACTCTTCCCAGGGGATCGCACAAGTCCCAAGTCCCAGAGACAGGACCTTGGCAGCACAACCAGGGGTAACCCACAAAGCTTCCCTTGAAGGGTAGGTATTCCTTATGGCCTGCTAGTGCCAGCCACTAAACAGCCTACACTGAGTTCCCCAAGAAGCAGAGGAAGGAACACTAACAAGATGACCATGCCAGCAAAGAGAAGATGCCAAGAGAGGACACAGAAAAAAGCCAACATTAATACCCTCAGGCAATGAGGCCTTATAGCCATGAAGCCAGACAAGATGTCAGAGCAAAAATTGCTCCTCCAAACTCAAAGGTATGCAAGAATCCCATGGGATGAGTTCCAAGACAGAAGCTGAGGAAACATCTAGAAAGTGGTGCCAAGATGAAAGGGTGAGAGAAAGTAGTTCCCACAAAGGATCAAGGAATAAGCAGATGGCTTCCTACTTCTTAGCTACAACATGAGAAGCCTAAAGACAGCAGACACAGGCCAGGCATAGTGTAACACTCTGAGGCAAGGACAGAGTATGCCAGGACAAACAGGCCCACACAGAGTCCCTGTTTTTTTTTTTTTTTCCTGGTATTTTGAGACAGGGTTTCTCTGTAGCTTTGGAACCTGTCCTGGAACTCGCTCTTGTAGTAGAATAGGCTTGCCTCGAACTCACAGAGATCCTCCTGCCTCTGCCTCCTGAGTGCTGGGATGAAAGGCGTGAGCCACCACCACCCAGCTCGAGACCCTGTCTTAAAAAAACAAAATGGCACACAACAACAAGACAGTAGACATTGGAGATGCTGTGCACAGTGGTAACTATCTGCTGTCCCCATGCTCAGGAGATCACTTGAGCCCAGGAGTTTGAGACCAGTATACAACACAGTAAGACCCTCCATCAAAAAAAAAAAAAAAAAAAAAAGGAGGGGTAAATAAAGTGCAGCTGGGACATCCCAGTAGTTCTGGGCTTCGCAATGTAGCGCACTAACTTTGCTTAGCATGTACAAAGTCCTGGGACCAATCCTCAGCACCACAGACATGGTTTATTTTATAAGTGCCTGCATATTTGTTTGTAAGACACATGTGTACCCTCCTGGTACCTGTAGAGGCCAGAAGGAGGGACAAATCCCCTGGAACTGGAACTGCCGACAATTATGAGTCACATGATGTGGGTGCTAGAAACCAAACCTGAATCCTCTGCAAGAGCAAGTATACTTTTATGTCTGCCAGTCCCAAACTCAAATATTCCTCCTTTACCTCTAACCAAAACATGGATCGGGAGAATAAAGGCAGAGCTAGCAATGGTGGTGCAGCCTTTAATCCCCACTAGGAGACAGAAGCAAGCTGATCTCTGGGTTCCTGGAGGTCAAGGACAGCCAGGACAAACAAAAGAGAATAAAGGCAGGGCTAGAGAGACAGAGAGGCACAGTGCTGAAGAGCTTGTAGTACTTGGCAGCAGAGGGCTGGGTTCAGTTCAGTACCCACGTCGGGTGGTTGGACAACTCCAGCTTCAGGGGAACCAGACACCTCTGAGGGCACCTGCACTCACACGTACATGCTCACGTGCAGACACATGCATCTATACATAACTCAAAGTGATAAATCTTCAAAGAAGCAGCAGGAGCTGCCACCGCCACTACCTACAGGTAACTTAGCAGCTTAAACAAGCAGAGCTAGGCACGATAGTATGTGGGGACTGCGACAGCAGATCAAGGCCAGCCTCAACTACAAAGTGAAGTCAATCTAGGATACATTAAGTCCTTGACAAAAAAAAAGAGTGAAATGGCTCAGTGGGCAAAGGCACTTGCTGCCGAGCCACCCGATGACCGAGTTCAGTCCCAGGAGACCATGGAGGGCATGAGTGCATGCGCACGTCCACACACCCGCTATTTTCTAGAAAAGCACTTCGAAGGACAAAGTGAGAGCACACAGCAGAGAGAACAGGATAAACAAGAGCTATCAGATTTGAAGCAGAAAACAATCCAGCAGAGCTGTCTTCTTGAAGCCCAACTAGGAGAGTGAGTCTCAGAAAAAGAGTGGTCCCGATGAACCAGACTTGATGAAGGTACCTGAGTAGTACCCGGACAACTGGACAAGCCCCTCAGCGAGAAGGGGCCCTAGAAGTCAGGGATCATAGGAGGGGGAGAGGTTTGAGGGCAGAGTCTCTGGGTTTCAAATACAATGGGGTATTATGGGTTATATTCAGAGCTGCCCACTCTGCCATTGTTTCCCACCTGCTTCCCAAGGTTTTCTGCGGGTCTATTAGGTGCTTAGACTACAATGAGGAGCCAGAAAGAAAACTTCAGGAATGTTAGCCTCCACTCCACCTGAGGGAGAGCCGGCCTTGCACCTTGCACCTCACCAGTCACACCTGCAGCAAGAGGGAAGCTGGGAGGGGTGAGGGAGCATGGGGGAAGGGCTAACGGGAGAACAAGGCCTTCCTGGAAGAGCGTGGGAGGAGAGGGGAGACCTGGAGCTGTTGGAATGTGCCTCAGGGAGAGAGAAACTCTTAACTAGTGGGAAGGGACCGTGGGAGGAAGGGGGTAAGTCCTGAAAACTGTCACCTTAAAGGTTACCCTAGCAAGACCCAGAGTCTGTGAGATCAGAAGAGAGGACCAAGTACCTATCTGCTGTGAGGCTGCACTTTTGAGGGTGGGGTGGGAGAGCTGTGGGAAACTTCCAGAAAGACATCTCTAGTTAACATTCAAGAAATGTTTAATATGTGTTAAGTGCCCACTAACTGTTCTCACTCTAGGTTTAATGAAACTGAGACTCGAAAGTGAGTAAAGTTGTCCCAAGTCTCCCAAGGATGGCAAGTTAAGAGGCCGGAGCCAAGCCTATGGGAGCAAGGGCATAGCCCACACTCAATGCCCGTGGCCTCCTACTCTGATTCTGAGTCTACACACCCAAAAAGGGAACTAGAGACAGTCATACACTTCCTGATCCCATTATGGATCCTGCAGTGGGAGAAAAACTGGCTGAGGCAACTGACAGCAGGAACAGGAAGAACCCATTCAAGTACAGGTGGCAGCATTAGTTTAGTGACCCCATCAATTGTATTACACTGCATAAGAGAACACCCCACTTTTAAGCAAGAATTCAGGACTGAGAGATAGAGGGCAGAATACACACGAACTGCTCTTGAATGTGCTGAAGACAGCCACCCAAGCAAGCTGAGCTCACACTGGGAAACCTGTGGCAAAGCCTTCTCACGAAAATGGGATCCATGACAATAGACCTCCCTCTAGAGAGAGGGTGGAAGGGCGAGGGATGCCGGGCAGTGGCGAGAACAGCAGCTCTCTCTGAAAGGCTTCTTCAGGTGAGTCACATAATAGAGCAGGTTAGGGAGGAAGAGCCTGACTAGAGACAATGGCTGGGGCAGAATTCCCGAGGCCCAGAGGCTGCCTACAGGGCACTGGGTGTGGCAGATTAGAATGGTGACTGTGACAGAAAATGTCCGCAACTGCACTGGCAGCTGCAAAGACCAGGAAGGGCACAACTGAACAAGAGCGAGGAGCATCCCCTCACAACCAAGTGGATGGAGGCCTCATTCAGGTTAAGAAAATGCTACTGACCGGGCTGTGGTGGCGCATGCCTTCAATCACAGCACTTGGGAGGCAAAGGCAGGTGAATCTCTGGGAGGTTGAGGCCAGCCTGGTCTACTAGTCCCAGGATAGCTAGGACTGTTGCACAGAGAAACCCTGGCTCTGGGGAAAAAAAACCAAAAACAAAAAGAAAAGGCTACTACCCCTGGGGGGAAGGGGTCCCTTTGCTCAGGGGTAAAACAGCCTCATCTCACCTTGTGATAAATCTCTGGTGGGGAAGTGACCAGGGTGGGACAGAAGGAGGTAACACCATGGGACAGGATCCTCCGGGCCACTAGGGCGACCCCAGAACCCACATCCTCCGTGGTCTTGGAGAAGTCAACACCAAATCCACCTGTGGCCACAGAAAACAAGGGGTAGCACAGTGCTCAGAGCTCCTCCCCTGGATTCCCTGGCCCAAGCCAGGCCGCACCGTTCATCTGCACATCGATAAAGCCGGGCGCCAGGATGCGGCCTCCGCAGTCCAGCTGCTCATCAGCCACGCGCCTCTCCTCAAAAAACAGCTTCTCTGGGTCCAGGATGCGGCCCCCGCGCACCCACAGATCCTCCCTGAGGGCAGAGCAGTCGGCACTTTGGTCACCACCAGGCCCTGGAACCAAGCCCTAGTTCTATCTCGCTCCCGGCTTGTCCCTGCACCCACTATTCTACTTGGTTCCCAGCCACACACCCAGGACAGTCCTGCCCTCCACATTCACACACCCAGGACAGTCCTGCCCTCCACATTCTTGGGTTCCCACACCCGACCCAGCCCTGCCGCTTTTACGGCTTAGGTCCTACACTCGCCCCATCCCTGAGCCCCACACTACAGTATCACCACTCCTACACCAGGCCGAACCCCGCATTATGCAGCCCAGACCTGAGCAGCGTGCCGCCGCGCAGGATGCGGCAGTTGGTGAACTGGCGCACCGGGGCCCCCGCCGCAGGCTGCCCGCTACGCATCGTGAGTCGCGCCGACCTCAGCAAGCTTTGGGCGCAAACCGGCAGTGCCCGGAGCACCCGTAATAGGAAGCGGGCGCAGGCCGCACCACGTGACTCTCAGCTGAAGGGTTATCACGTGGGCCTCAGCTCCACGTGACCAGGCCACGTGACCCGGAAGCCCCGCCCGCTCAGCCCACAGAAGCGCCAGAACACAAGCCAGTCACATCCGAGAACTTTTATTGGACACAGCTGGGAGCCAGCCCTGGCGCACTGTACACGCTACCCTCCACCCTGGCTGTCCAGGGTTGGGGGGAGGGTGGCTCCATCCAAGGAGTCTCAGCAACAGGAACCCCACAGGCAACACTTTACTAATGATTACTATATAGTTGGGAGACAGGGCTGCTCCACAGACGCATGAATAGGTCAAATCTTTTATAAATAAACATCCAGTGAAGAGAAAAATGACAACTCTAATTCATCCTTATACACAGAGCACTCTAGGGCGATGGGTGGGGGTAGCCAGAGGCTGACATCCTCATTGGTCAGGGGCCTGGATGGGAGATGAGTGGGCCCAGATGTCCACAGCACGGGGCGGCAAGGGCCAGGCGGGGGCAACAGACAATGGGCACTAGGACACTGCGCATTTACAAGACCAACTACTGAGGGGGCAGCTGCCCGTGCGTGTGTGTCAGGCTGTTCGTTCTGGAATGAGGAGGGGTGGTCTTTACATCCTATCCTGTGACTGGTGGTGGAAAATGGCTACTTTGTGGAGAGGATTAGGGCCACGATGAGACCGTAGAGGCCAAGCACCTCCGCTAAGATGAGGATCAGGATCATGCCCACGAACAGTCGTGGCTGCTGGGCAGTGCCCCGAACACCAGCATCCCCCACGATGCCAATGGCAAAGCCAGCAGCCAGACCACTCAGCCCCACGCTCAGGCCAGCACCCAGCTGAAGAAAACTCCTGGGAAGAGAAGAGATACAGGCTGTCAGCAATCTGCCTGCCCGCAGGCAACTGATGCACTTCACCTGACAGTCCAGGTCCAGCACTCACCTGTAGAGGGTGATGCCATCCGTCAGGGAGTTAGCGATAAGTACTGCCACCACCAGGCCGTAGATGGCGATGATCCCAGCCATAACCACTGGGATGATGGACTTCATGATCATCTCTGGCCTCATGACCGACATAGCTGCGATGCCTGTGCCACTCTTGGCTGTGCCATAGGCGGCTCCCATGGCTGTGGGGGGGGGGAGATGAAGTGAGCTCTGGGCAGCATGGAAGTTGCCTGGGGAGCTTTTTCGCACATTGGGAAGGCTCCCCAATTACCACCACTAGAGGAACTGAAGGCATGCAGCCAATTAGGAGCCCCCTGGGAGAATAACCATCACTACAGTCACTTCTCTTTCCACTAGCAGAGCCTCACCCCAACCTCCTAGTCCACTTCCGTCTGGAGTAGTCCTTGTGGTCATGGGGGTCCTGGTTTGCTGTGAAAGTAGCCTTTGTTCCCTAGCATTCTCTAGCTTGTGACCTCTGGCAAAACAATCACATGGAAAAGAAGCAGATGGGCCAATGAAAGCTTTGCTTGAGTCTCGGGCATCTCTGTCCCACACCCTAAGTTCCAGGCACTTCAAACATAAGGGGACTACCTCTCAGCTGCCTTAGAGGCCAATCCAGGGTCAGTCAGTCCCTGCCTGCAGTGGGGCCTTCAAGCCTTCCAAGACAGTACAACCTGTCTCCTTAGAAGGTGTTCCCCAATCCAACCTCCTCATCAGGCTGCTGCCTTCCTTTCAGGTCTTTTGTTTCCCTCTCCTGCCTCTAGGTCTTGAACTCCAATTTTCCTCATTTCTGCTTTTGTTTTCCAGACCCTATAAGAACTACTCAACTACTTAAACAGGTGACATGGGCAGTCTCCAAACTGTCTCTGCCCAGGGCATTCAAGCCATGGCCATTCTGGGAGCAGTATATAATCCGATGCACAGAAAACACAGGCCAGAGGTAAAAAGGACACGAACAACCCCAGCCACTCTACACTGTTCGCTGATCTCGCTGGAACACAAATATTCCTACTGTGTGCCCAGTGCTTAGTAGGGCAAATGTGTGCTCTCAGCTCATAACAGCAAAAAGACAGGACAGTGACTCAACACATTCACATCTCCAGGAAGGAAAGAACACGGACGGAGGAGGGACTTACACTGAGGGGAGGAGGGTTTGAAAAAGATCATGGAGTGGGAGATGATGAGGTAAACAGCAGAGCAAAGGAAAACCAGGCAAAGAGCAAGATTCTTGACAGCACATTCAGGCACTGAGCAGACAGTCCTAGATGAAATAACTGCAAGAGGCAGGGACTCCAAGAGACAGCTTGTCTCTTCGACAGCACCCTTAGATGCCCAGACACTTCCCAAAGACTTAACACCTTAGCTTTCAAGTCCCGGGTCCATTTCAAGAGAGATTTTCCTGGAACTGTTCTGATCATTGTGCATTTCTCAGGCTCCTACTGCAAGCCAAGTCCACGCTTGGCTTCATCACAGTGAGTGCCCGAAGAGCTCCCACTCCTGATGACATGGTACTAGACACTGAGAATACAGACTGCTATGCGCTACTGTGAAGGTGGGGACTGAACTCAAGGAACTCTGTATACTAAAAGGCAGAACTCTGAAACAGGAAAGGAGTTGAGTTGGGTCCTTCCCCAGAGCATAGCATGTGGATCATGTCGCTGAAGGATGGGTGGCAAGAAGAGAGATGATGAGAATCAGGGATGGCACCAGGGACCGAGGCAAGAGGAGATAAAAATTAGCCTAGACCCAGACAGTAGCAGGTATCTAGAAGGCCAAGTCTGACAGGCTGCAGAAGGGAGATCTGTCAACATTAATGCAGTGGGGCACAGAGAGCGGGGTCTGGAGGCACTTCCAGGAAAACAAGCAAACATAGGGGAAGTCACGGAAAGAAGTCACTGGCAGTTTCATGGAGAACATGATGAAGAAACAACCAACAGGATATTTGTCATAAGAAAAAAAGGGAAGCTAACATGTGAGCAGGGACTGGAGGCCTCAAAGACGTGTGCAGACCTCATTTAGTTAAAAGAATGATGGTCTTTAAACTTGGTTCATGAGGTCCAAGAGAGGCCATGAGTCAGTCACTGAGAGTAGGCTTTGAGTCTTCCCAGCAGCAAACACTGAGGCCAGAGAGATTTCTTTGGGTGGTGGCAGGACAAAGATCTGCTATTAAATAGCAAGCTTGGAAGGAGAAAATGAAATCAGAAGTGATTCAAGTGGCCAATAAGAGCCTAGGACCCAGAGGACTGTGAGAACCTTGTGTGAAGGAATGGGACTGGTAGCGTGTAGGTTCCAATCCCCAGAAGCTAGGGTCAGGAAGGAAAAGGCTGAGTCCAGCAAACATCCAGTTTTCAATAGTGCAGACACCTGTTGGCCAGCCGCGGCACATGAAAGGTCTCGACAGAAGAGGTTCAGGGAGCTGAGTGCAGAAAAACAGCAGAACATGAGCTCCACACGGTCAGGGATATTGTTTTGTTCACAGTAGGAACTCAAGAAAGATTTGCTGGATTCGTGTATGAATGAGTGACAACCACAAGTCATCACAGGTGGCCAAAATAGGGGAACCTATGGACACATTCTGGGGCAAAGAGCAGTACGAAATGCTTGGCAACCTTCTCTAAGGAGCCCTAAAGTGTGGGGAGAACAGGCATGGGCTGGGAGAGGAAAGGAGAAGTCTAGACCACATCTCCCACCACAAATGATCCCTTAAGCCAACCATGTGGGAAGAACAGGGCTCTTAGAAGCACCTGACAGGCCCAGGCAAGGGGAGGTCACCAAGACAGACAACTGGCCACCCCAATCTGCACCCTACAAGTGTTTACAGTCAACAGACACTGTTTGGAGTTCAAACTCTTTGAGTACCTGCACAGAGGGCCAGCCTCTCCAACTGCCAGCTAGGGTGGGGCAGGGCGAGGTCACTTAAGCCAAAGACCAGACCTTCCAGAGGAGGCCCAGACCAGGCCAGACCAGTCCCTGGGGGCTGTGACTTACCTCCCTCAATCCCACATTCTTGAGTCTGACCCAAAGGCTTTTCTCCCAGGAAGGCCAATTTTCACTAAATTTGATACCATAGAACTGTCAAGGCCCAACTTGAAAAGCAGCGTGCTATCAAGAACCTTGCCAGGCTTTTCCTTCACTGAGCAAGGAAGCATCTATCTCCAAGTTCCAGCCCCTCACCCCCCTAGAAGAGGAAGGTCATTCATTCACTCATCCATTCATTAGGGCCAGGACTGAAGATCAAAGACCTAATCACGGAAATGCTGCCACTTTCAGACAAGCAGACTCTCAGCAAGCATTCGCTCAAGTGCTCCTTCCTGGACCAACCTCACTTCCATAGGCTCTAACCTGAGTCCCTGCAGGTTCCCAGGACCAACCCCTCAGCCCAGTTTTCCCAACCAACCCACACGATGACAGAACGATTGGGATTGGGAAACCGAGACAAGTCTCAACCGGAAACACCTGCCTCACCCAGGGTACAGACCCACCTGACCCCCTAGCTGCCCGGCAGCCACAAAAGCTGGGCTTTTGGACCTTAACGGGGACACAGGGTCCCTCTGGCCAGGAAGCCAGGGACTCCCGCACTGGGCCCGCCGCAGCCTACGGACTGGCGCCTTTCAAGATGTGATGTCACACCTGTCCGCAGAATGCGGGATGCGGAGCAGGCGCAGGAGCGGGCACAGGATCGCGCGCCGCCCCCCCCCGACCCCCACCCCACCTTCATGCCTGCTTCTCGGGGCTAAAATGGCAGCCACACCACCGCCCCACCCCCGCACAAACGAGGCTCGGCTGGCTGATAGAACCAGCACTCGGATCAAGCCCGTAAGCCCACATAGTCCACTGTCCCCGCCGCCATGGGGCTGACCCCCAACCCGCCAGGCCCGACACCCACATAGCTGGGAATGACGTCAGAGTGACGTCACGCCCAGCCCCCAGTGAGCAGCGGGCTCTAGTCCCGCACCGCTTCGGCACCCCCCGCTCCTCCTGCTGCGATGCTCACCGCTGAAGACCATGGCGTATGAAGCGCCTATGACAGCGAAAAATGCAGCATATTCGGGGGTGTTC